TTTTAAAAAAAAAAAAAAAAAAAAAAAGTACTTAAGCACTGTTATTAACCCCATCTCACTAGAGATGAGGAAACTGAGTAAACCGTATAATGAGGTTCCTCATGTAATAACTAATAGAGCCAACAAGTCACCCAGAGTTAGGGCTCTTAACCAGTGCTATGCCGTCCCTTAAAATGAAAAAGTCATTCCTCCCTTCATCAAATTCATATTTAAAATGGGAAAACCCTTGAACCCAGCACGGTGAACATGTTATATACCATGTTGCCATCCTTTCCCTGAGAGCACTACTCCTCTAGGACTCCACGTGGTGCTGCTACTAATGAATTTCTGGCCTCCACTGTCACTCCCCCATGAGTGTATAACTCAGGCAAGGCCCAGGCTCAAATCTCTGAGACCTGAGTGTTTTGTTATATCCCTCAAGAGCAGACATAAGATTGAGCATCCTGGCACCAAGAAAAGTCTGAAATGATGATCATCAAAAAAAAACATGTCAAGAACACACAGTGGGGAAAAACAGTCTCTTCAATAAATGATGCTGGGAAAACTGGATATCCATATCAAAATGGATTAAAAATTTAAATGTAAGACCTGAAACTAGGAAACTACTAGAAAAAAACATGAGGGAAACACTGCATAACATTGATCTGGCCAAGAATTTTTTTGGATAAGACCTCAAAAGCACAGGCAACAAAAGCAAAAATAAACAAGTGAAATTACATCAAACTAAAAAGCTTCTATACAGCAAAAGAAACAATCAACAGAGTGAAGAGACAACCTACAGAATAGGAGAAAGTATTTGCAAACTATGCATCTGACAAGGAGTTGATATCCAGAATATATAAGGAACTTAAACACTTCAACAGCAAAAGAAAACCAAGTAATCCAGTTTAAAAATGGGCAAAAGATCTGAATAAACATTTCTCAAAAGAAGACATACAAATGGCCAACAGGTATATGAAAAATGCTCAATACTGCTAATCATCAGAGAAATGCAAATCAAAACCACAATGAGATATCATCTCACCCCAGTTAGAATAGCTATTATCAAAAAGACTGAAAATAACAAATGCTGGCAAGGATATGAAGAAAGGGGAACACATACACTGTTGATGGGAATGTATATTAGCACACCATTATGGAAAACAGTATGGAGGTTCCTCAAAAAATTAAAAATGGAACTACCATTTGATCCAGCAATCCCACTGCTGGATATAGATATACAGATTATAGAAATAGATCCAAAAAAAATGAAATCATTATGTCAAAGAGATATCTACACTCCTGTGTTTATGGAAGCACTATTCACAACAGCCAAGATATGGAATCAACCTAAATGTCCATCTTACTGATGAATGGGATAAAGAAAATGTGGTATATTTTACACAATAGAATACTATTGAGCCATAAAAAAGAATGAAATCCTGTCATTTGCAGCAACATGGATGCTGTGGATTGAATGTCACCCCAAACTCATTGAATCTTAATCCCCACTGTAACTGTTGAGAGTGGGAAATCCTATTACAGTAATTGAAAGGTGGGACCTTGAAGAGGTGATTAGATAGTGAGGACCATTCCATAGATTAATCCATTTGATAGTTTAATAGTGGTCATGGGCATGGTTCTGATGGCTTTAAAAGTAGAGCACACGAGAAGCTCTCTCTCTCTTTGCGTCTGCCTTTCTCACAATGTGATACCCTGCATCATTGAAATCACCACCAAAGAAGGCCCTCACCAGATGTGTTACCTGACTTTGGACTTCCCAACCTCCAAAACTGTAAGCAATAAATATTGTTTCTTTACAAATTACCCAGTTTCAGATATTTATGTTATAAGCAACAGAAATGGACTAATACAATGGATTAGCCTGGAAGATATCATGTTAAGTGAAATAAGCCAGGCACAGAAAGACAAATACATGATCTCACTCACATGTGAAATCTAAAAAATTATCTCATAGAAGTAGAGTAGAACAGAATAGTGGTTACCAGTAGAGATTGGTCAACTGGTACAAAGTTATAGTTAGATAAAAGGAATAAGTTCTATTGTTCCATTGCACAGTAGGATGACTGTAGTTAACCATAATACAGCATATTTCAAAATAGCAAGAAGAAATGATTTTCAATGCTCTCACCACAAAGAAATCATAAAGTTTAAGGTGATGGATATGCTAATTACCCTCATTTGTTTGTTATACATTGTATACATGTGTCAAAATATCACACCCTACCCCATAAAGACGTACAATCATTATGTGCCAATTAAAAATAAAATAAAGGGCCGGCCCGGTGGCACACTGCAGAGTGCACCGCTTGGGAGTGTGGCGGCGCTCCCGCCGAGGGTTCGGATCCCATGTGGAGACCGGTTCCCGCTCACTGGCTGAGCACGGGGTGGGCGCAACACTGAGGGTTGCGATCCCGTTGCCGGTCCCCGGTATGGGCGCGACACCAAGGGTTGCGATCCCGTTACCGGTCAGTAAAAAAAAACAAAAAGGAAAAAAAATAATAATAATAAAATAAAATAAAACTTTTAAAAAATGGTAATAGAAGTTATTCCAACATTAGGAGTTAGGAGTTCATGTGACTTTTACCACCTTTTTTGTAATGTTCTGTATTATTTTAATTTTTACTTAAATGAACCAATATTTTTAGAATTGGGAAAAGGAAAGCTATTTACATAGAAGAAAGTTACAATTTTTTAATCAAGTAACTTTATGATGATTAAACACAGATTTTCTGAAATGGGAAAATCCTTATCAGCTTTAAAAATTCAAATGTAAAATTAATAGTCCTTATAGATTAAGAGCCAAGGGAAAATGTGATATGTAGTATTACATAATTAAAATTCAACTGACAAGTAAAATACAAAGAAATTTGTCATTTTCAACAAGAATATCTTTTTCGATCACAAAGAAAAAAAATTAAGACTTTATTTTGTTCATTTATTATCATACCAAGTTACAATGATCTATACAGAACTCATTTAATTCCCTTTCTATGTCTTTAACAACTTTCTTCACTAAAGAAAGCATCTGAAAATCCTGTTTAGGTTCAAAAATTAAGTTCGCGGACCCCTCTTTAAAATGATATTAATTCACTGTAAAGGATATTAATTCAGGTAAGAAATAAATGAAATTTAACATCCAAATAAGAACTAGATTTGATTCTAAATTTCTTAATTATTAAAAATACACATTTACTTTATAAGAAAAAGACAAATGGCAGTTTAATTTTAAATATATAGAGAGAGAAAGAGAAAAGGGAATGCTTGCATGCTGTTAGTGGGAGTGTAAACTAGTACAGCCATTATGAAAAACAGTATGGAGGTTCATCAAAAATTAAAAATAGAACTACCATTTGATCCAGTGATCACACTACTATGTATATACCCAAAGGAAATAAAGCCAGTATGTCAAAGAGATATCTGCACTCCCATGTTTATCACAGCACAATTTACCATAGCCAAGATATGGAATCAACCCAAGTGTCCAACAACAGTTGAATGGATAAAAAGAATGGGGTATATCTACACAATGAAATACTATTCAGCCATAAAAAAGAAAGAAATCCTGTCATTTGCAACAATATGGATAGATTTGAAGAACGTCATATTAGATGAAGTAAGCCAGGCACAGAAAGACAAATACCACATGACTTCACTCATATATGAAATACTATTCAGCCATAAAAAAGAAAGAAATCCTGTCATTTGCAACAATATGGATAGACTTGAAGAACGTCATATTAGATGAAGTAAGCCAGGCACAGAAAGACAAATACCACATGACTTCACTCATATGTGGAATCTAAGGGGGAAAAAAGTTGATATTATAGAGGCATAGAATAGAACAATGGTTACCAGAAACTGGGGAGAGAAGGGCCAAGAGGTGGGGAGGAGAAAGAGTTAGGTTGAGGGTAGCCAATGGGTACAAAATTACAATCAGAAAGAAAGAATAAGCTCTGATGTTCTATTGTGCAACAGAATAACTATGGTTACCAGTTAAGTTTTCTATATTACCCAATAGCTAGAGGACAGTTTTTTAATATTTCTGCCACAAAGCAATGAGGTAATTAAGACATTAACTACCTTGACCCAATTATTATACAACATAAATATGTATCAAAATATCAGACTGTCATCACATATTGTACACAAATACTGATAGTCAATTCTGTACCTCACAAATATGTGTAATCAATTGTTTCAATTAAAAAATAAATTTTTTTAAAAAGTAATAAAAACATCAGATCGTACCTCATAAGTATGTACGACTACAATGTGTTTAAGTTAAAATTTTTTTAAAAATTAATATTTTAACAATATTTTTAAAATAAAAATTAATGCAAAAAAATAAAATAAAGTATATATAATACAACTTACCCCATCCAAGAGAGTATTTGACAAATGCATATGGAGATCTTTACGATATGGAAATTCCAGATTTGAAACATGAAACACCGAATTGTCTCTATCAATCATAAAAACTTCATTTGTGCCATCAATCAACATCATATAACTGTAAACAAAACATTGAAAAAGTAATGTTAACAGTACAATATCAAGAATGCGGTCACAAGAAATAACAGCTAAGCTGTTTTTCTTAGACTTTCAAAATCTTGGTGGAGTAATGTTCACTAGAGTCCCCTCTCTCTATTATGCAGATTAAAGTATCACAAAAAACAAATTATTAAAACTTTTTTTCATTTCCTATAGAAAACGCAGAGAATAGGAAAATCTAAATTTTTTATGGACACAATGTAATGTCCAGGAGCAACCTTACGACCCATCTTAAGACAGAATGGTTCTATAATTTTTATTAGATCTTAAACATCAAAGTCTTTCAAAGTTTATAAAACGAACACGCACACATATATAATTGCATTTTATTGGCTCAAAAACTATATGAATTAGCTATTACTCTCTCCCCTTCGAAGTAGAAAAAATAATGAAAAAAATGATTTGCAAATGGCCAGACCTCAAACTATCCAATGCTCTTTCTACCATGCCAGTTAACAAAACAGCTAATCCTTCTCATTCAATATCATGATATAGCCAGATACCACAATTTCAGGTACAATTTTTCTTCTCATCCGTGACTATAAAATTTCAATATTTTTAAACACAAACCACAAGAACTTTTATTAGCCCTTATTTTCTTAAACCCAACCAATATATGGGAGAATTATATACTTAAAAATCTATAGTTCTTTAAATGGTCAGTTTAGCATCACTTATTCCCTATCAGCAGATCATCAAGAATGGAGCTCTGTTTCACACCATATATAAAAATGCAGTCCTGATGGATTCAAGATGAGCAAAGTACAGATTGAAAGGCTATACTACCAAATGGATAATGGCAAGACTTGGGATGAAAATGGAGACCATATCCAGGTACCAAAGTCTCCAAAGAATGACAGAAAATTCACAGTAAAAAGGAGGATTAGAAGGTTAAAAGATGAGCCTCAAAGAAACAGAATCATTTTGTTAGGTTGTTTGATGTTAAATGAAAGAATGAAACAGTTAACAGTCTGGATGTACTGAAAATGGAAGAAAATGGTGGCCAGACCATACAAACTCCTAACTACAAGGTATATAAGGTAGGTTAAAAGAAAGCAGCAACAACTATCAAGTTAATGTCAGAGGACAGAAAAAACATTAAATGAAGAGATGGAAGTTAACATAGTAGATGGAATCTAATATGAGAAGATAATTGGTTCAGCATAAACAAGTGTACTAAAGAGCCAAATACACATATTTAGAATAGGTGAGGAGAAATAGGACAGCTGATTAAGGTAAAAGAAGTGTGCAAACAACAGAGGGGAGAACAGCAAGGAAGACCAAAAGGACATACGTTTTGGGACTAGGCATACATCTGGGACTTGAAGCATGCTGTTACTTGCTGTTTCCAAAATAATTTGTAGTTTCAGCAGGCCCCAGGGGAGGGGATGGAGAGCTCAGACCCTTGCTACATATTGAAACAGCTGCAGCCCTGGTAGATGGGGGGTGTGAAGACACAGGTATCACTAGGAAAAATAAAATCAGCCTGTCTGGACTGACTATGCATCTGAGAGACTCCTAGCCCAAAATACCAGGCCAGCAGGCTCACAGGCAACAGGAATACTTAGTTGGACTAAGGAATACCCGAGAACCTCCTGCACATGCTTTTCAAAAGCAGCAATTCTTGATGGATAGGAAGAATCTAAGCTTCTTAGAAGAAGTAAGCCTTGCTCTGCATTGTGTTTCAAAAGGAATTTGTATCAACATAAGGAAAAATCAAATAAAAAGCAATTATGACATCACCTGCAAAATGGTATGGAAGACACACAATTCATCATGTTGTCTAAGGACCTAGGCCAGCATTTTACAAAGCTTGTTATTTACTAAAAAGGTATTTTATGGCATAATAAGTTAGGGAAACACTGTATCTTTGGCTTAGAAAGTCAAGATATATATTAAGATATTTAAACTTATGAGAAAACATGTAAGTAAGCCTGTTTATCTTATTTAGCTCACTGTTTCCTAAACTTAATTCCAGTATCTATCATTTGACAGTATTAGTATTCTATATTTACAATTTTGGGGAAGCTGATTTATGCTAACAAATTTTAGAATTCAGAAAACATGTAAGTAAGCCTGTTTATCTTATTTAGCTCACTGTTTCCTAAACTTAATTCCAGTATCTGTCAATTTGACAGTATTAGTATTCTATATTTACAATTTTGGGGAAGCTGATTTATGCTAACAAATTTTAGAATTCAGAAATAAAGAAATAGCTTGTCTCTTCTAGTCATACGATGATGACAGAAATTATACTTCCCTTTTCACTGGCTGCCCAAAAGTTGACAATTAAATTTAACGTTCTAATGGAATAGACATTAAATCCCAGGGTGCTGGTATACTTATTTAATAATGTGCGTGTGCACGTGTGTGTGTGTGTGCGTGTGTGTGCGTGCGTGCGTGCGTGTGTGTGTGTGTGTGTGTGGTACTATCACGCCTTTCTTTTTACTTCAAGTACAATATCAATTAAAAGAAAATACTGTCGGCATATTCAGGAAGAGGTAGAGCAAGTGGCCGCTGTATCAATGACAAAAGAGATCGGCTTACCTGCTATGAGAGCCTGCTTCTTGCCATCATGGGTACTTAACAATACATTGTTGGAGGAATGGAAGACCGAATCAATCACCAAGAAATAGTTTTTATGGTGACTGAGGAGCAAGATGGTGACGGGTCTGGAGTGAGTGTGCCAGAGGACAGAGAGAGCCTGTGAAGTGTGCGCTGTGCTGCCAGAGTACTATTTGCATTTCCAAGAGCAACAAAAAATGAATAAATCACTGATCAACTAATCTACAATGAAAAAAAGCAACTACAGTCTCGAGGTTTTAGGGCCGATGCAAAAGAAGATTCCTGAGAGCGCCCCAACCACACCGGGAGACCGAGCAGCCCAAGGCAACAAAGGCCAGGAAAAATGGCAGCGGCGACACAGAGATGGAGAGGAAGGCGTGGGACCAGCCCAGCTCTGGGAGCTTTGTGAGTGACCCCCAGCCCAGCCCCGCTTGGGGGGCAAAGGCCCGCCCGGCCTCTGCTTACTACA